TGTATTTATGTCACAGTTAGACTTGCTTTTGCAAAGTGAAGCGCACGCCTGCACACACACATATAAACATACACCCCCCCCCCCCCCCCCCCCACACATACACACAATCATATGCAAAAAGAATGAAGACTAACCTTGCCAGCCAGGTTTGCAGACAGACTTGACATCAATGTGCACAGGGACGCTGTGCACGGCTCTCTTTTGACCACAGTCCCAAGCTATCACCTGGATCTCGTACTCCTGCTGGCGGTCGTAGCTCAGCTTTTCTGTGTTCCTGATGTTACCTAGTGGGGACAACAAGGTCAACATCAAATTTATTGATTGACTCATATAATTTATTTATCACATAGAGGGAATTCAACTGTAAAGCAGCCACACTGAATAACAGACATTTACCAATACAGCAAAAAATAAAAAATACCACAACAAAAACAGGATGATGACTCAGGAAGAGAATCAGAGGACATTAAAACATCAGATAACACGAGGACAGAAAACCAGTAAACAACAGTGATGAAAAAGTCCATTTGTAGGATGTGATTATCTGTATGCCATATATTTCAGTTAAAACTCATTCTTCACCAGCTGACTTAAACGTGTCAGCTGTTCAGTGTTTGGAAATATATTTTTTTGCCATAAAAAGAAGAAGAAGAAAAAAAAAGAAAACTGGGTTGAATTGCTCCACATGGCATCCTGCTAGCCTTTTCCTGCCAGTGAAAAATTATTAATGAACTTGTATCATCTTGTGACACAGCTCTTACGCATTCTGGTCAGTTTTTAGTGTAAATATCCAAATATTCATTTTCTCATGGATCAACATTTCCTCTCATTTTAGTCTTTGTCTTATTTTATTTTTGCACTTTTCAGAATACACAAAGATAATTTTGATTTACTTTTTTATTCTCTTTTGTTAATTTAGGTTCTGTACAGAAATAAGGCATTTTGACACAAAAAGCAATGAAGATTAAGACCTGAAAACATTGGTTTAAAATTTAGTTGTCTTTACATTACTTAGGAAAAGTAAAATAATAATAATAATAAAATTAAATAAAATTAAATTAAAGTTAAATGGAAAAATAGCTAAGATTATTCATTCAACCTTTGTTTATACAGTTTAGTCTCATTGAGCCTCGAGGACTCATTTACATGAGAGACCTGTTTTAAACAAAGAACACAGATGAGGTACAGACAACATTAGATAATTATATAAAAGCATGTAAAATGAAAAGTAAATAAAATAAATGAAATAAAAAACAAACATAAAAAAAACATCTACATTATAAAGTGGTATAAATGCTAAAAACAGGAACATGTCTGCGTTGGTTGCCATGACCTTAGCAGTCATTTAAAATCCATAAGAGTGGTTAAAAAAAAAGTACATAAATTGTTCCTCCCACTTTTTTTGTCTATTCAAATGGTGAGCATTGTGTCAGGAAGGGCATCTGGCCTTAAACACTTAAGCTAAAACTACCATTGATTTAATTGCTAGTTCTTTTAATTGACACCATACCAGATGAGTTGAGGTCCAGGGTTAACGACAACTGTCACAGGTGCCTTTAACAAACAGGGTACCAAAGGAAATTGTGCAACTGAAAACCACGAGGAGGGAAACATGTCAGTAGACAGGGGGAATGGAAAAGCCAAGAGTGTAGGACAGAGGTTTGCAACTCTAAATGTGGGCACAATGACAGGCAAAGTTAAAGAGCTGGCTGGCATGATGCAGAGAAGGAAGGTAGATATTTTATGTATCCAAGAGACCATGTGGAAAGGCAGAGTGGTGAACGGAACAGATCTGACTAGACATGTTATTGAAGGAAGCAGAGGAGATGAAGAAATGACAGGTAAACTTTAGTATGAAAGAAAGGAATCAAGAAGGACAGATGTTTTTGGATTTTGCCAAGATAATGGAAATGGCTGGGAACCTGAACCCCTCACTCACTGCTCTTTGGATTGAGAAAGCTCCTCGGATGAGGAGCGAAACGTCTTCTGTTACAAATAAAGTCCAGTTGTTTTTGTATTGAACGCTTTTTTGGACCCTGGGTTGTCAATAATTTGGGGGATAAACAAAATCAGGCATATTTCTAGAAAGAAGAGCGGCTCCGTCCAAAGTGGGATGGATGCCATCTCTCCGCATCAGACCAGGTTTTCCCCAGAAAGAACTCCAGTTATCTATGTAGCCCACGTCGTTGTCAGAACACCACCTGGACACCCAGCGGTTAAACAACGACATATGGCAAAACATGTCATCGCTGGTTGGGTTGGGGAGGGGGGTAAATTCCTTAGATAGAGAACTTTACTAAATGGCTTTTATGTATGTGAATGTTCCTGTAAAGTGCCCTGAGACAACTTTGTTGTGATTTGGTGCTATATAAATAAACTGAATTGAACTGAATTGAATTAAATTGTCCCTAGGTGTGAGTGAGAGTGTGAATGGTTATTTGTCTTTGTCTCTATGTGTCCCTGTGACGGACTTGTGACCTGTCCAGTGTATACCCTGCCTCTCACACATTGATGGCTGGACATGGGCACTGGTGATCCAAAAAGGAGGAAGCAGGTAAAATATCATGGATGGATGGATGAATGGATAGATGGATGAGGAAGGGGAAGGCAGTAGGACCTGATGGCATGCCAGTAGACATTTGGAAGTGTCCAGGAAAGTTGGCAGTGAGGTTTTTGACCTGATTATACAATTACATTTTTCAAAGTGAGAAAATGCCAGAGGAGTGGAGGAGAAGTGTGCTGGTGCCCATTTTTAAGAAGAAGGGTGATGTACAGAATTCCATAAGCTACAGGTGCCTTAAATTGATGAGTCATATTACGAAGATCTGGGAGAGAGTTGAGAAAGATAGACTTAATTTTGAAGTGACAATTTTTGAACAGCAGTATGTTTTTGTTCCAAAAAAGAGCACCACAGACGCCATATTTACTTTGAGGATGCAGCCGGAGAAGTACAGCCAATCAGAAAGAACTTCATTGTGTCTTTGTGGATTTAGAAAAAGCATATGACAGTGCCAAGGGAGGAGGTGTGGTATTGCATGAGGAAATCTGGAGTGGCAGAAAAGTATGTTAGACTGGTAGAGGACATGTATGAGGACAGCAGGACAGTGGTGAGATGTGCTGTAGGAGTGACAGGCAGACATTAAGGATAAGTTTTGAGCCATTTCTTGTTTGCTCTGGTGAAGGACAGATAAATTGACGAGGTCAGGCAGGAATCCTTGTGGACTATGATGTTTGCAGGTGACATGATCTGTGGTGAGAACAGGGAACAAGTGGAAGAGAACTTGGAGAGGTTGAAGTATGAACTTGTAGAGGTATGCACTTGAAAGAAATCAAATGAAAGTCAGACAGTGTACACGTGTGAATGAGAGGGAGGCAGGCGGAACAGTGAGGCTACAAGGAGCAGAGGTCACAAAGGTGCAGGACTTCAAGTACTTAGGGTCGATTGTCCAAGAAGATGGGGAATGTGATAAAGAGGTGAAGAGGAGAGTCCAGAAAGGATGGAGTGGATGGAAAAAAGTTTCAGGAGTGACTTTCAACAAAAGATTGTCAGCAAAGGTCAAAGGAAAAGTTTACAAGACAGTTGTGAGACCAGCTCTTATTGTATGGTCTGGAGACAGTGGCTTTGACACACTGGCAGGAAGTTGCAGGGCTGAAGAACAAGCAAGGGGTAAGTGCAGTTCAGGAAAATTCCTTAAATGTGGTTCAGAAAACTAAAACCACTGTTGCGCAATTGCTGATTACAGAGTTCAATCAATTCTGAATCCAACCCTGGCAAGAATGAAGGAATCACCACTCTTGAAGGATGTTTGAGTTGTCCATTTTGTATTAAAACAAATCATAGACATGCCACAATATTGTCAGTTTTCAAAATTCAAACTTTCTGTTATTAGAAAGCAATAAATATAAATATATAAAGAAATATAATTGTTGTAGTCAGTCTGTTGGGCTTGCTCAATTGCGGTTAAAAAAAATGAAATCATGAAAAAAGCACTGCATTTATTAATACTTTTTTGCACCACCTCTGGCTTTTCTAACAGTTTAAATGAGATGAGGCATAAACTTAACTAATGACAAACAGTACTCTTCATGAATCCGACTACAACTGTTTTTTATTGCTGGTATCAGATCAGATTTGCAGGTTGAAATCTTCTAATTCAACATTTTCTTTAATTTCTACCAGACATTTTTACCTGGACTGAGATCTGAACTGCTTGCAGACCGTGCCGCTGACATTAAATGACTTTCTTGAAAAATGTTTTCTCATGTTTTACTCAATAGTGACATAAATTACCATCCTAAAAATAAAGTCATCATCATCAAACATCTTTTTTAACTGATGGAATAAGAAGTCTTTATTTTATTGCAGACTTATACAGTTCCAGCATCATTGCCTGTCCGATGCAGATTCAGGATCTATCACTGACGATCACTTTCATCCAGTCACCACAGTCCACGATGGCTTTTCTTTTAAGCCACTGTCACCTTGTTCTTTCCTGTCAGGATGTTAATGGTGGTTTTAATTTGGCTTCTCTGTGTGTAAATCCATTTGTCTAATTTCTGACAGTTTGATCACAAACGTTGACTCCAGTTTCTACCCACCTACTTATATTTGTTTTGTTGTGAATTTTATGTTTTCAAGATATCTTGCTTTAAGTTTTCTATCGTTACACTTTAACATTCTCCTTGATCAACCAGTACACCTTCCTTTTACAACATTCCCATGCTGTTTGTATTTGGTCTGGATTTTAGACACTGTTGACTCGAACAACCAACATCTTTTGCATCATGTTGATGATTTACGTTCTTTAAGAAGCTTAAAATAATATCCTTTGTTTTAACTGACACGTCTCATTTTGAAGACGTTTGTTACATTTTAGAGATATCAATTTTATATCTTTGCTATGTCAACCCTTTTGATTTTCTGTTATCACGATTGCCTTAGATGTGGCAGCCCACATTTATCAATGGCCCACATCTGGCCTCTCTTTGAAAACATTTCTTAAGGCACATCTGATTTGGACCGTAAAAATCAAGAAAGTTGACCTAAAAACTCTCTAATAAGAATAAAATGATGGATTTTCACAGGCACAGTATAAAACACATCAATTGTTGGAACAATGTTACACATCACTGCTGTATTTATATATGTAAATAATAAAGACTAATGAATCAAAATTGTGTTCTTTATTATTTCTTAATGAATTAAATGAAAAGCAATGCAGATCCTTCAAATTCAATCTATTGTATGTTGGGAAATCCTCTCAACCAGACGTGAAGTAATTCT